ACACGTAAAGTTACATATTTCTACACGCGAGTTACATATATATACACACGAGTTGCATTTGACTTGCCTGAACGCGAGTTACATATATTTACACGTAGAGTTACATATTTTTACACGTAAAGTTACATATTTATACACGCGAGTTACATATTTATACACACGAGTTGCATTTGACCTGTCTGAACGCGAGTTACATATTTTTTAAGTAAAGTTACATATTTTTACACGTAGAGTTACATATTTATACACACGAGTTGCATTTGGCCTGACTGGACGTGAGTTACATATTTCTACACGCAAAATTACATATTTTACATAGGTTAAAATTACATAGGCAATATTGGTCTCATTTGAAAGATCATGAAAAATAAAAAATGTTGGTATAAATTTTATAAAAATCGGATAAAAAATAAAAAGGTTATTACCATTTTTAAAAAAAGAGAGAAATAAAGAATAAAGATCCGGTGCTTGCCAAATACGCTGCTTGACAAAAACCGTATGCCGATATACGGTGCTCACCGTATACCGGTCATACGGTATAACAACTGTATCTGTTTCACATTGTTTAACATTCATTGTTCTACAAGTTAATTAGTTGATTAGATTGCAACAAGAAATTAGCAAATGAGAAAAGTATTTAGAGCATTATGAAATGGAATATAGGAAATTATTGGAGGGAGGAAATATCTTTTATGATAAATCAAATCAAGTTTTAATGGACAAACTAGTCAAAGTACAAATCAAAGACCATAATCACCATATTACACGTCATTCTATAAAGGAGGCCCAGCCCGAGAGTTTATTAAACTGAAAGATTAACGGTTGGGTTACTAAAAACCCAATTTGCAATATATATTTGTAGAACACGTGACTTTCAATTACCGACCTTAGCTCAGTTGGCAGAGCGGAGGACTGTAGTTTGCATGCTGAAATCCTTAGGTCGCTGGTTCGAATCCGGCAGGTCGGATTCTTTTTACCTTTTAATTATTAATTTTTGCCTCATAAAAATTAACCCGCGTCAATCCTGCTTTATTTATACGGAGAACGTGTTTTGCTTTATACATACCTTGTCTTTAATTTACGGAGAAGATGGTGGCTTTACGCTTCCTCCATTCAAATCCATTTTTGGCGCCACTCTTTTATTTACTCTTTATTTAGCCACCTATTTCTATCCCCTAAGCTATTGCTTCAGACACCAATTTGTGTTTCTTAAGATCTTGGCAGTGGAATTGAATAGTGCCATAAGAGAATGGTGAAAAAGTCATCATCTTTTGGAAGCATTGTGAGGAAGAGGCTCTCAGATATCACAACATCCCTCCCACAACTCAAACCCGGTATCGACTTTCAAAAGGAAAATCGATCATCGAAGGACTTCGTTGATCATCTCGTCAAGGTACTACGCTCTACCTATAGAGGTTTCAGTACTGCATGCTTATGTATACAACCATCCTTAGAGGTTTCTATTTGAAGTTCCTAGTTTTAAAGAATGTCTTCTATGCATTATAGCTCATTTTCTAAATGTACTGGCTTCACTCACTAATAGTGTCTATCTCAAATAGTCAAATCCTAAAAGATTGTTTTATTTATTTATTTTGTGGATGCCTTAACACAGGAAAACATTGCACTGGCGAGACTCATACAAGAAAGAAAGTATGGTTTCTAATGTTTTTCTTTTCCTCGTAATATTGTTCTCTTGAGACCTTCCTGATTAGATGTGTTCTTTTTCAAATGGATATATGAATAGCAAAGCAATAGAAATGAGTGGAATAGCTGAACGCACTGAGAGCGGGTTTTCAGAAAGTTCAGCTGCAGAACTGGAATCTTGCTCAATCTAACACTCACATGTTGGCGGTTAGTCAGTTTCATTTCAGTAAATGTCAAATGTTAAAACATCTTCGTTTGAACTTATTTCAATTAAGGACTAGACTCAGATTTAAACAAATACGTAGTATATTTGATCTGACTTAAAAGGCTCAAATCAGTTTATACTAGACTATACTATTTGTAACTAAAGTAGTAACTTTAAGTTCAAATGAATAGATCTTAACTGAAATTCTATATTACCACTGTCTAATGCTGTTAAGACCATGTAATTCTTGCAGGAACTTCACTTTAATAAAGAAAAGGTAACATCTTTTCCTTTTTTTGTGGAAAGGACTGAAAGGGTATAATCAAGTCATTTGAATTTTGAAAATTTAGTGATTTCCAGTTGGTGAATTCAGGTAAAGGCACTGCAGCATGAGCTAGTATGCAAGGAAGCCATGCTCAAAGCAAGATTTGATGTTAAGGTAAGGTCCATACTCGACTGTGATGAAGGTTATTTAGGCTTTCTGAGTCTGTTATTCCTAAAATACCAGAAAGAGAACAAAACTAACCCTACCCCCAAAGAATGAGGCATTGAATCAAAACACTGGCTCAGTGGCTCATATATAGATTAATGATAATTTATGAAGTATATTATAGTCCCCAAATTTTTGTGTAATTGCATATATATGCTCTTTTATGTGTAGCATAAGGAGGGTGAAGTTGGGGGCTGCACACCAAATGCAGATGCAAAACCAAACAAAAGCAATAGGAAGCTTCAAGCTACAAGGAGTCGATGTAAATGCTAGATTTAGGGCAGATCATTTTTATATATAAAGAACTACAAAATCAAATCTCATCAAAAAAAAAGAAAAAAAAAATCAAATCTCATCAAATTTTGTTTCACAAAGAGATCCATTCATATACTTTTGAACTATTCAAATTTCAGTCTAATCTCTAGAATCTTTTCAGCAATGGTCCATTCAACTACTTCTCAACAAGCTTCAGAAAAGACAATTGCAGATAGCAAACGGTATGATTCAGTTATATAAATTGCCCTAAACAAGAGTAACAACGTTTCTGCATTCCAAAATATGACTATTTTTATTCCCTTGATAGAAGTAGTTATTGTCATGTTTTGTCATTATCAGGCTTTAAACAAAGCAATATTTTCAAATTTGACAGTAATTACTCATATTTAGGAAATAAGAACATAGTATTCCTATTTTTAAATTCCAAAACATTTTTACCTCTTTTAGTGAACATAGTACATCCAACTCCCCTTACCCCACCGTAGGTGGGGGAACTTTTGCAGCACTAGGGTAATGATGACGACGATGACTTATAACAATATTTCACTTTGGATCTTAAACTATGTTTAGTAATTCTCACTTTTGGTTATCTACTTTTAATTTTTCCACTTAAGGTTCATCCTGGTCACTAAACAAAAACTAGCCAAAATTTATAAGAAAATTTAGGATGGTCAGAAGGAAAAAAGTGATGAACGTTGTAGTAGAAGTAAATAAAAACAAAAAAGTTAGAATCAAAGTGAGAGAAACAGTTGTTAGCATTTGCATCTCACAAGGCTATTTGGGGTCAAAGCTTCCCCGACATTGATCATTTAAGTTCTATGTACAGACATTGTTTAAGGAGGCAATCAGCTTGCTCAAGAATGCCACAACGAGAAGCGGCTAAGAAAGCGTTTGAATGTGAAGATATTGCAAGTAAATGTGATAAGATGGTTGAAGATGGTCATACTCCCTCGGGGAACAAATCGTCATGTTTGAAAAGAGCAACTTTAGGAAGACCATTGCGCAGAGCAGCGGGGAAAGTGCAAGTTCCTCTTAATATGAAGATGAGAATATCAGATTGAGCTTTCTGGCTACTTTGCCATTTCTACAAGGAAATATTTAAGTAGTAGAGTTTGCACATGTATTGTATGTAGCATGAGAGTGGCCTATCTTTTCATTTCTGTAGGTTATTATAGCTCCTAAATTATAGGCTAAAGAGAGTGATTTACATTGGAAAAATTAAAGAAATCGTGATTTGCAAGCATACTTTTATTTCGGGTTGAACTTAAAATCAATTCATGAAATATAATCACCAGCCCCAAATTAACGGAAGTTTTTGAGAAGGGTAAATACAATAAAGAGTACTGCAAAATGACTTATCTATGTTGATAAAAGTTCAAAGTTTCAAACACCTTGTATTTCTTTTAAAAACCTTAAAGTGTTCAGTATAAAAAGATTTTATATAGACAAGTCTTGGAGATTAATACAAAATTTAAAATAAATCTTAAAACCTTAATTTTTCACGGAGAGAACACAAATAATTTGAGACAGAAGAAGCATTCAATGTGCATACACACACTAATAATGCAAAAGTTGACAGAATCTCCTAAAATTGATGAAATGTTGTTGGCTGAATCTATTGAAATAAATGACCATCTACGTTACCTTCAGTTATTTCATCTAGAATAATAACTTCAATCTTACTTATTTTGATTATTACATAATTCAATGCCTCAAATCAAAACTTACGTATTTGGTAAAAAAATAAGATGGTTAATAAGCTCGAAACAAGGCCCGAGCTGCCTTGTTTGGACGGCCTTGGGCCAATTCACAGGGAATAGGCCTGAGCTGCCTTTTGTGGGACTGAGACCGGTCGGTCTAATCCGTTTCGGTCTATTTTTATTTGCATTTCAGCCATTGGAATCATTAAAGGAGGTATAAATCCATTTGAAAGCTGAAAAAATATTGGATCCTACAATCATACCGGTCCAAGTCCACCCCTAAAAATGAGTTTGCAGAAGTCCACAAAATGATGCAAGAGGATGAGCCTTCAACCTTCAGCTGCAGTGTTCATTTACATTATCCTCTGTTAATAAGCAAACTCATTTTCTGGATCAACAATGTCACAAGACTCACAACAAATCTTCTTAAACAAGAACGTCTATATTTACATTCAAAATACACTATCTGAGGTGGTAAAACAATTGTCTTTGATTCAGTTTTCTTGTTTATGACATGGGTTTCCGTCCCACTCTAGTCAAGTAATCCCACAAGGCCACAAGCCTAAACTTAGCTGCGAGATAAACGACCCCAGGGACAATTTAGTCGTGTGAGATCGAACCAGGCAAGCTACCCTTCTAGCCATTCCGGCCTTCCAGGTAATAAACATATTAACAAGAGTACACTAAAAGTCAAATGGCACAAAGCAGAACATAACAAGAGTACACTAAAAGTCTAATGACACAAAACCGAACTCTTCCATACACATCATCACAATTTACAAGTGCAAGTGGGTAGCTCTGTTTTAAAACAAGATAAGGGTATTGAAATCCAACTCTATTGAATGGATATTACAAATTAAAGAGAACCCACTTTTCATGAATAGAAACTACATATTATTCTCATGAAGATGTCATGCAACACATGCCCATTATCACGGGTCAGAGAGAATTATGTCATTAATGAATGAATGTGCGAATAAATAAAACAACACTGTAGTAAACAATGGTATCTATTGACTATCCTATTCCTGAAGAGCATAACACTGAGGAGCCAGCTCAGCCAACCATGAGCAATCAATTTTGGAGACGTTGCGAACATAATTATGGTTAGTTCGGATGATTTCATCAAAGATTATACACTCAGGCTTTGTTTGGAATAGAACCGACGTGGGGTGGATTTGCACCATAAGTCCACTGGACAAAGCCCTGAATACAAATAACAGAAGCATAAATCTTTACACTAATAGTTTGTGTTTTTAGAATAACACCAGACAATAAGTTAATAAATCTATGAACTCTCACCTGTATTTACCATCAGGTTGCTTTAAAGCTGCATTCAGGAAAAACGAAGCAGCTAAGCATCTACGGAAGGAAAGAGTGTCTCCACCACATGAAATGACCTTTAAACCCATTTGCTCTGCATGCCTTCGTATTTGACTGTGGATATCATGGGCATGTTTTAAGGACCGGCTATTGATGAAATTTTGCTTGCACCATTTTCTTACATTCTTTCCAGCTTTTCCTTTACTGTCATTCACTAAGTCATGCTTTTGCAAGAACTCATCGTATGTCCGATATACACTCAGCAAAGTCAAATGGTCTCCTTCTGGACTTGAGAAGCTTTTCAAAGCAATTCGAGCCTAGACAGAATGAGGATTTTTTAATATGATCACCCGCTCATTAATAACTATGTCTTTTTTTATATTTTAAAGACTTAGGGCTAGTTTGGTTCAGGAATTTTGGAGGGAACGGGGGAGGATTGACACTTATTTTACTAATTGATTCTATTTGTTAGTTTTCAAATGGAAATAACTGTCATTAGTCAATAATGTATTTCTATATAGTTTTTTGTCTTCACTCTATTTCTAACCAACAAAGAGTACAAATGATCTCATCATTTTCATTTACCCCAGTGCCGCAAAGGCTCCCACCTACGATGGGGTAAATATAAATGACATTGACCTGGAGAAAATACAAGGTGGTTTACCTAAAGTGTAATAAACGTCACCTAAAAGTACTTCCGTATGATGGCATAAATATTTTCATATTAATGCCTGATAATGTCATGATATTGCAGTATGATTTTAAGATGACAGTATTTGGACTCTTATTTATATACGGAGTATAAAAAATGCACTCCTATTTAGGGAAACTACTTTGTCTTTACTCTTTCAGGAAATTTCCTAAAATAAATATCACCCTCTCCTTCCTCACAGAAATCCTGAATCCTAATAGAGATAGAACTCCAGAGCATAATGTATTTTTATACAATTCTTATCTTCACTTTTTCTTCACTTTAACATAACCTTTATAGTAACATTATTTAAAATAATAGCGCATATATAGCATACAAACACCTTTAGAAAGATTACCTCTTCCAATTTTTCGCGGGGGGCATAAAACACAGATTCTACAGATAGCATAGCAACAACAATCAACATTTCCTCTAAGCAGTTGAATTGGGTGGCGACAATGAGTGCTTTAGAGTAGACAGGATCAAGTGGAAGCTTCACCATTTGTTTCCCAATCGGATCAGACAGTTTGCTTTCTTCTGTTAGTGCACCTAACATGAATAGCAACTCCATTGACTTTATGATTGCATTCCTGTATAATTAAAGGACACAAATTATAAAGGAAAACGTAAGTAACTATAACACTTTTGAAAATTTGGTTCTATACTTTTCAAACACACCTGTCAGGCTTTTGAATGAAATCAAAATTGATAATATCATCGATGCCAAGTGCTTTGAGATACAAAATAACATTTGAAAGATTGCATCTTTTGATCTCAGGAGTAGTCGAATCCTTGAGTCTTGCAAATTCATCCTCCGGGTAAAGTCGGTATACTTTTCCAGGTCCTTCACGCCCCGCACGTCCTCTTTAATAAAAAATAATAATACGCAATAATTAACAATTACATGAATGAATAATAATTAAATAAATAAATAAATAAATAAAAATACTTCCTCCGTCCCACTATCTAACATCATTTAGCCCTTTTCATTCGTCATATTAAGTCTTTCTCATGGCATATTTGGTCATATTTGAGTTGTTCTAATTCATTTTTACTTTGTTCATATACTTAAAAAATTTCAATACCACCCAAATAATTCTACTTTTCTTAATAACAGTGTCACTCCTCATGTCACAATCATGGTGGGAAGGAGGTAGTTATAAATAAGAAATAAATAGATGGAGAAGTAAATATTAAATAATACAGTAATATTGCAAAATAAAAAATATGGACCACCTTCTCTGATGTGCTTGTGCTTTTGAAGTTTTCACAATGATTAGTGGTTCAATCCCTGTGGATGCCTCATAAGTGCGTACTTTAACCATACCAGGATCAATCACATATTTTATTCCTGGTATTGTTACTGAGGTCTCAGCAATATTTGTTGCTAGTATAACCTATTATAATGCAAGACTAGTCAGCAATATGATCAAATTCAAGGGCTCATGAAACAAAACAGAAAAGGTAGTGCACAAAAACCATATTCTGAAGAGCAAACTACCTTACGGAACCCAGCAGGAGAAGGTGCAAAAACCTTCATCTGTTTCTCTGATGGAAGAGATGAAAATATTGGACAGGTTATAAGATTTCGTTTGGATTCAGACAATTGCGGCAGTTGCTCATTGACAAGCCTCTCCATAGATTCTATTTCTTCTTGGCCAGTCAAGAAAACAAGTATATCACCAGGATCTTCCTCTAAATGTATCTGACAGATACACAGTCAAAACAAGTTTGAAATTTAAAAAAATAAAAATTAAAAAAACAAATTGACAGTTTAACTTTATTATTCTTCGTGTCGGTCAAACTTGGCAAAGTTTTAAGGGACGGAGGAAGTATTAGACAATTTGCAGTTCACGTAGAGATACCTGAAATATAGTAATCAAAGCTGCATCTAAGTAATCACTGACAGGTTGGCACGTATAATAATCTAAAATTTCGTGTTGCCGCCCTGGAACGTGAACAATTTTAGCACCACCAAAGTAGTCAGAAAATAAATGTTCTTCCAGACTGGCAGACATGATAATCAACCTCAAAGGAGATAACTTATTAGCCCCATTTTGTTTGTCCAATGAGAGTAACCCTTTCTTGGCTTCTTCTCCTCCTGCATGATGATCAATATTCACTCTCATCTTTTGTACATTTTTTAGCAAGCCAAGCAATACATCAGTGTGGACTGTTCTCTCATGAGCCTCATCAACAATAATAACAGAATACTTTGAAAGGAAAGGATCCAATAATGCTTCCCTATAAAACAACACACACTGAGATAGTACTAAGTTTATAGATAATATAAATAGAAAAACTAATGAAAACAGTAAAGATTTAGTTTTAAACTAGAAATTCTATAGTTCCAACTACACCTGAAAAAGTGCGGCAAATGTTATTACACTCTTTATCAATGATTTATATACGGACTAGAAATTCTATTTAAGGGTCTGTTTGTGCGAGTATAATTATTACTGTGTAGAGGTTCATAATACAGGACTTGACATTTTATTACATTTTACAATTTTAGCGGTTAGTCCATCATTTGCAATGAAGCCAAAGACTCGCTATTTTTTGGCTTGGGAATATGATGGAATAAAGCAAAATGGCTAACTAAACTGTCTGCGCTTCTTTGTTATGACGCAGCAATTAGTCCTGACAATTTTTTACGCAATTTTCATCATGGGTCATCCGTAACAGTCTCTCTGTACTTTAGTACAAGAGTAATGCTGTGTAACATCAAACTCCCTTATCCCACCGTAAGTGGGAGCCTTTCTAGCACTGGGATAATGTTGTTGTATTACAATTTTAGCGGTTAATGTTATTTATAAGCATCCCAAGTTAGGACTTTTATTATAGTGATATTAGGGTATGCTTACTAGAGGTTTTAATGTACAATGAATGTTCTCTTACCTCAATAACAACCCATCTGTCATGTACTTTATCCTTGTTGAGCTGGAGGTTATATCCTCAAACCTAACTGCATATCCAACCTTTTGGCCCAATGGGCTGCCACATTCCTCGGCGACCCGTTTTGCAACCGTCACAGCAGCAACACGCCTAGGTTGAGTTACCCCGATAATCCCTCCACCGCGGCAGAACCCCCAATTGTAAAGATATTGGGGCAACTCTGTATGCCCACGAATAGATAAAGTGTTCAAAAGTAACACATTCACTAACCAAGGTACAATATGATAAGTAATTTAAGTCAATGACAATGTTAATGCTGTGAAGAAATACATCCTTTTCCAATTTTCTGAGGTAATCATTAGTTTTTTTATATTTCTCTAAATGACCAGGGCCTTACCCTAAGACATTTATCAGGCAGAGAAATTCTCATGGTACGTTAGCATATGTCAGGGTTACTTTCACAAACATGCATAGTAAATAGTCATTTGAGATATACCAAAAGCTTAAGACACTAAGAGGTTTCCAAGGAAATTACTCTTCTTTATATATTACTCCCTCCGTCCCATAATTAACTCCTGTTTTGACTTTGCATGGTGATTAAGAAAGTTGTAATTGTGGGGCCTGAAGTTGGGCAGATGAGAGAGAAATGCTTTGAATCACAGATTCTTTGCCAAAAAGGGAAAACTGAGATATGGAGTTTATTTTGAGTCATGGAGTATTATATCTTTTCTTCATGGGGCTGTGGCAGAGGAAACTTTCTGGAATAAATGCATATAACTTAAGCAATATAAACATTAAATAAGGAGCATAGCCATTTGTTTCTTTTTCATTAAACAAAAAAGTATTAAACCAAAATCCTATTAGCTTACCTCAGGTTACTATTTAAAGAACATGCACAGTAGAGGGTCATTTTGAGAAATCCCGAAAAATCTAAAGGTTAATGCAGACCATTTCCCTTCTTTTAATTTTATTATTTTATATCTCCCTGATAGGGACCGGGCGTATTAGAGTATTAATTAATAATAATAATAATAATGATAAGGGACCGGGCCTATTAGATAATTAGAGTATTAATAATAATAAGTGTATAAGTTTAGTAATTAGTATAAATAGAAGATAGCTGGGAAGAGTTGAGGAGGCTTTTGGGACTTTTGGACTGGGAAAGATTAGAGAGTTATTCTCTTCTCTTTTGGGAGGCTTCGGCCTTTGTTACTGTTTACCGATCGATAATCTCTGTTCTTCCTCTATTAATCAATAAGGTTGTAAATTGTTTCTTGATAATCTTCCTGTGTATTGTTCTGGAATCTTGGAGGTCTCTATCATTGGTATCAGAGCAGGTTTGATCGCTGGATGAGAATTACGTGTTCTATGATGGAAGGACGATTGTACGAGCTGGAAAGAAATCAACGGGAATCAGCTGCAGCTAATGCGGCTATGGCGACGGATATAGCAGAAATACGTGCAGCGATCGCGACTTTGGTAGAGAGAAGCCAAAATCGATCGCGAACTATGTCGCACACCTCATCTCGATCGCTTCACTCCAATTCCTCGCATCGCACTTCTCAACACAGACATGCGAGGAACAGCGACAGTTCAGAAGGATCGGATCATCATTCTACTTCTCATTGTAGTCGTGATCACCACAGGTATTATCGGAATCATCATCATGTTGGACGGAAAATAGATCTACATATTTTCAATGGTGAAGATGATTTTGGTTGGTTAGTCAGGATGAATTGATACTTCCGATTGAATAAAACGAAAGAAGAGGACAAAATTGACACTGCAGTTGTCGCCATGGAAGACCAGGCTCTGAGCTGGTTCCAATGGTGGGAAGGACAAGCGCAACATCAAACCTGGGAGGCTTTTACTACTGTTTTGTCCAAACGATTCCAACCAGATTTGGTGCAAGATCCTTTGGGACCTTTATTCAGTTTGAAGCAGAAGAGAAAGGTGATGGATTATAGGGATAAATTTGAAACTGCCATTGCTTCATAGGGCCACTTAACTGAAGAAGTCTTGAGAGGGGTTTTTATTAAGGGTTTACAGCGAGATATAAGGGCAGAATTGAAGTTATATCGTACCAGAACTTTGGCAGTAGTTATGGATACTGCTCCTTGATCGAGAACAAGAATTCTAAAGCCTTGTTTGTGAAGAATAAAGAGGAAGGAAAGAGGAAAGGACAGAATAAACCTATCATCCAGTCTTCAGGCCAGAATTGGGGAGATGAAAGCAGGAGGAAGAGCAATCCTTACATTTCTGCTAGTATGGATAAATATTCAAGGGATCCCAAGAGCAATGAAGATAATGGGGGCTTGAATTTCAGAAAGGAAGGTCCAAGCTGTGTATCTAAGGAGACAAGTCCCAGGTTATCCCAAGAAGAACTATTAGACGGAAGCAAGAAGGGACTCTATTTTAAATGTGGCCTGGGAAAGATGGAAGATTCCTTATACTTCCATTCAGGGATACAAAGTACAAACTGGAAATGGAGAATACATAACCAACTATGGCAAGTGTGCAGAAGTGGGCCTGAATGTGCAAGGGGTTGAGATTCAGCAGACCTATTACTAAATAGAATTGGGAGGCACTGATGTAGTCTTGGGCATCGAATGGTTGACTGATTTAGGTGATATGGAAGTTAATTTTCAAAACCATGTCCTAAAATGGAAGAAACAAGGGTTGAATCATATTATTCAAGGTGATGGATATTTGTGGCACTGGGAGGGACAAAGTAATGAGCAGAAGCAAGAACAGTTAATGGAAGCCAGAAGGAATGAGTTTATAAAGGAGTACCCTGAAGTTTTCAAGTCAATTCTGGAGAGAATGTCCTGGCTTTTGTGTAATTCTGCTATGAAATTCATAGGGAAGAAAATGGAAGCAGTCAAGCTGAGGGTCCAGAAATCAATTCCGTATTGGAAAGGGAGAGGTGCTAGGATGAAAGAAGAGATGAAGATTGTGGCTGTGTCCTATCACCCACCTTGAGGGCAAGGTGGATGTTTAGGGGGGAAGTATTGATAGGGACCGGACCTATTAGAGTATTAATAATAATAAGGAACCGGGCCTATTAGAGTATTAATAATAATAAGTGTATAAGTTTAGTATAAATAGAAGATAGCTGGGAAGAGTTGGGGAGGCTTTTGGGACTTTTGGACTGGGACTGGGAAAGATTAGAGAGTTATTCTCTTCTCTTTTGAGAGGCTTCGGCCTTTGTTACTGTTTACCGATCGATAATCTCTGTTCTTCCTCTATTAATCAATAAAGTTGTAAATTGTTTCTTGATAATCTTCCTGTGTATTGTTCTGGAATCTTGGAGGTCTCTATCACTCCCTCATGAAGATGTGGCAGGATTGGCTACAGAAAACTTTCAAGAATCATGGCATATAACAAAAGGAATATAAAAGTTATATAGGACCACAGCCATTCATTTTCCTACTGTTAGAGACCTTCAGAAATCCAGAACAGTTTAACAGGAAGATATCAAGAACAAACTGAAAAAGCTTTATTGATGAAGAATAGTAACAAGAAACGATGGCCGAAACTCCCAAAGAAAGAGATTATTAGTCTCAGTCTTCCCAAGTCCCAAAGACAAATGTCTAAACAGCCTGCCTAACTCCCCCTGCTATCTTCTATTTATACTAGACTTGTACACTTATTAATTTATTATTATTAATACTCTAATGGGCCCGGTCCCTTATTATTACTAATACTCTAATAGGCCCGGTCCCTAACAATACTCCCCCCTAAACATCCACCTTGCTCTCAAGGTGGGTGATAGGACACAGCCACCATCTTCTTCTTTTCTTTCATCCTAGCATCCCTCCCTCTCCAATACTTATTTGTCTGCTGGGCTTTTTGCTTTACTACTTCCATCTTCCGCTCTATGTATTTCACAACATAGTTCCACCGAGGCCAGAAAATTTTATCCAAAACTTTGATTCCTGCAGATTCTGTGGAGACCAAGGTGCAGCAATTTCATGTTTTTGAACACTTTCTCCTTCAACCTCCTTTGATAATCCCTGATAGTTCAGCCATTTCCCCTCTCCCTTCATATTTATCAAGCTCTGCATTTCTTTGTAAGCTCCTTGTTGACTAGATGAGATATCTCCTTGTAAAATCAACTTCTGCCCTTGTACTTCCCACTTGAAGGTCTGACTTTGGAAGTTAATCTCCGTGTCTCCCAAGCTTGTTAGCCAGTCCATTCCATAGACTAAATCAGTGCCCCCCCAGCTCCAATAGGTAATATGTTTGATGAATATCAATTCCTTGCACATTCAGACCTACACCCTACACCTGCACACCTGCCACAGATTAGAACTCATTCTCCATTGCCTATCTGTACCCTATTCCCCTGAATAGGAGTATAAGGGATTCTCCACCTTTCCACCAAGCTTAGTGACATAAAATTGTGTGTAGCACCACCATCAATGAGTACAATTACTGTCTCCTCACCTCCAGGCCATTCCAGTTTACCTTTCACCTTAAATGTTTGCACAAAGGGTATGTCCTCACCTAATCCTGAAAACTGCATGGTCTTCAATTCTAGATGTATGGTCTTATCCCTTCCTGATTCCAGTGATTCAACTTCAGAATCAACTTCACCCTCAGAATTCTCCACTAGAATCATTTTATAGTTCCTCATCTTGCAGACATGTCCTCTTCCCCATTTTTCACCACATCTAAAACAGAGTCCCTTCTTGCTTCTGTCTAATAATTCTTCTTGGGGTAACCTAGGACTTGTTTCATTAGATACACAGCTTGGACCTTCCCTTCTGAAATTCAAGCCCTTATTATCTTCATTACTCTTAGGATCCCCTGAATATTTGTCCACACTAACAGAAGTGTAAGGATGGCTTTTCCACCTGCTTTCATCCTCCTATTTCTATCCTGAAGACTGGAAGATTGGTTTATTCTGCTCTTTCCTCTTTCCTTCCTCTTTATTCTTCACATATAAGGCTTCAGAATTCTTTTTCTCTATCAAGGAAGTTGTATCCATAACATCTGCCAAAGTTCTGGTGCGATATAACTTCAGTTCTGCCCTTATATGACGCTGTAAACCCTTAACAAAAACCCCTCTCAAAACTTCTTCAGTTAAGTGGCCCTATGAAACAATGGCAGTCTCAAATTTATCCCTATACTCCGTCACCGTTCCTTTTTGCTTCAAACTGAGTAAAGGTCCCAAAGGATCTTGCACCAATTCTGGTTGGAATCGTTTGGATAAAGCAGCAGTAAATGCCTCCCAAGTCTGATGTTGAGCTTGTCTTTCCCACCATTGAAACCAGCTCAGACCTTGGTCTTCCATGACAACAACTGCGACATCGATTTTGTCTTCTTCGTTCGTATGGTTCAATCGGAAATACCGGTTCATTCTTACTAACCATCCACAGGCGTCCACTCCATTGAAAATTGGCAAATCAATTTTCCTCCCAGCCGGATGTTGGTTTCTCTGATGCCTGTGTCGTTCGCGACCATGAAGCGAGGCAGAATGATCGGAATTGTTATCCGAACCTTCAGAGCTTTCATGATTCCTCGTATGTCTACGGTGAGTTGTACGATGCGAAGAAGTAGAATAGTGCGATCTACTTCTCGATCGATCGGAATTCCTGTTTTGGAGTTCAGCGATGCCAGCCTTCATTGCCGTCAACATCGCTAACATCTCATCATACTTCGCATCTAATTCCCTCTGATTTCTTTCAATCTTTGTGATTCGTCCCTCCATCATTTTCCGCGTTCCAACCATTCACAGAATCGACAGGCTCTGATACCAATGTTAGAGACCTTCAGAAATCCAGAACAGTTTAACAGGAAGATATCAAGAACAAACTGAAAAAACTTTATTCATGAAGAAAAGTAACAAGAAACGATGGCCGAAGCCCCCAAAAGCCGAAGCTCCCAAAGAAAGAGATTATTAGTCGCAGTCTTCCCAAGTCCCAAAGACAAATGTCTAAACAGCCTGCCTAACCCCCCTACTATCTTCTATTTATACTAGACTTATACACTTATTATTATTAATACTCTAATGGGCCCGGTCCCTTATTATTACTAATACTCTAGTAGGCACGGTCCCTAACACCTACTAAATAAATGATACTACCTCCGTCCCTTTTATATTGGGACGGAAGAGAATGGCACGAGTTTTAAGAAAAGTGAGTTTGTGTGGTTGATATTAATTGATAAAGTAAGAATAAAGTAAGAATGATTTTGAGCCACACAAATTTTACCAAATAAGGTATGGGACAATTAAATAGGGACATCCCAATATGGTAAAACGGGACATTTCAAAGGGGACGGAGGGAGTACATCACTTTTCCACTCATCCCACAATTTGTTCCACATAATATCCTACCATATGGCGAGATGCATATCAAATTATCAACTTTAACATAGACCCAACGTCCTAACACGCATAGTTGTCAGGTAACTCAAAGTAAGAATCAAACTCAGCATACCAAAAGGACAAAAGATGTATCCCATTTTGATGGAACTTCTAAAAAGGCTTCCTTGAGTCTACGTTTAACATATATTCCTATGTCCCGCTAAGATTGCCCCATCTTTCCTTTGGTATGTCTCACTAAGATTATCCCATGCCAAATTTGGTAATGTTTGTCTGGCTCTAAATTGTTCTTACTTTACTCTCACTCTATCAATTCAATATTAACCACATAAACTCACTTTTCTTAGTAACCACACTACCAACTCTTGTACCAATGTTAGGGGGACGGAGGTAGTATAATATAACACCCAAAGCAAAAAAAGTGAGAAAAGTCAGAAAACATCATTAAACACACAGTTACTTGCGTTCAGAGGTGTGGAACTTTGGCGACATATCATTTCAGATATTGATCAGACGATTAAAAGTTATAATATCTATACTATTAAAATTAAAAATCAACAAGAACCTTCCATAGTTCCATGGTGCACATAATGTCAAATATTGATTAAGTGTTTTTAGATTATAATTTTTCCGTTCTCTCGTGTGCACATTATATAGTATCTATAATACTCCGTAATAAAGTTAAAAAGTAATGGAAACCTCCTACTGTCAACATTTATTGATTTATATATCAGTAATGAATAAAGTTTGTTACGTGGAAGCTGGTTTATTGTCAACCATAGGGATTTAAAATATCTATCAGATTTGCTACCTCACCAGGTAAATGTGGGGAAAAAATCGAACAAGAAAAGGTAGTACTCCAACAAGGACTTGAAGGTCATAAATAAACCCTTACGTGTAGTCTTCCCGCTTCCAGTTTCCCCAACAACAATCAAGGTGTCATTACTCCTAACATCCTCCAAAAGTTCTTTTTCCACTGCAATACGGGCAATTTAGTTATATAAAGATAAGTCATTACTCATTAGGAATAACTGGGTTGTTTTGACTTGTTTTGTATTAAATCATTGAAACATAGACCAAAATGGTATCAAATTTTAGAATTGAATAGAAATATCACAACAGGTTCTGATAACTGTGTCTATGTGGGACCTACAGAAATTTCTATCCAGTTTTGCTTCAGTGGATGGAGACTATTCATGTCATGTACTAGTGGATGCAACATAAACTTTCATTTGACTTGCACGTTAACATTTTTAGTATTAACAGATTAAAATTAAATATCAAAATCAGATACAATTTAAAAAATAATATACAAATATACAATACATATTTGAGATCTCAAATATCAGTATCATTTACTGCTTAGCTTTTACTTTTTAGTAATAACCTAGACAAAACCAGTTGAAGTGACCATCCAAAGTTTTCTCTGTGGTGGTTGTAGTTTGGGAAGGGGGGAGGGCCGATGGTCGAAGTAAGATCACAAGCAGAAAGAATTACATTGAGCAATTGGCAGAGCTTTTCTCTGACGCTCAATCTTTTGCCCCCTGCAAAGATTTATTTTTGTTACAAATTTGAAAGTTAAAACACATATTGCAGGTAAAAAGTTAATCGTAAGTAGTACAATATGCAAAAAAAAAATTACTAAAGCCCTGTATAGTAAAGCACATGCCTGCCTAAGTCATCTGTTTTGGGTTTCTTCAACGGTCTGTTATTCACAGTGTAAAATTTGTGCACAGAGTTACTGGAAGACATCGAAGGCATTTTCTCAGTAGCAACCTAACCAAAAACTCCTTTCTCAACCTCCCTTTCCCCTATGCATATGAATCAGAGAAGAACAATTTATGGAGTCAATTAAAATTTAAAATATAACAAAAACACATTATTCTCACTATATTTGCCATGTTAAGGAAACAAACATGTAATACCTTAATAAATAGTCATATTATAGCCATCAATGTGATTCTGTGAATACCAAAACTATTATGTATACGAAAATTATTAAATTTAACATAAAAAAAACATTTTTCACAATAACTTTCAAATGATAATCTCTATGGCAAAAATGAACATATTGACATACAGGTCATTCACCAATACAGCACTCACAAACAAAGACTCGGACCCTAAGATTAGATACTAAGTATAAATGTCTCAATTAAAATTCGTAAGTAATAAAAAGAGTACCAAAATTAATTATACGCATTACAAAATATATTGCCACTAAAAACATAGGGGCATTCAGGGGCGGAGCCAGGGGTCAGGGTGGTCAGCCGATACCCCTTAAAATTCAAGGATATAGAGCACTAAAATACCTTCGATTTGATATATTATGGCTCCCGTAACTCATTATGAGCATGGCCAGTCCTGTATGTTTGAAGGCCTAAGGGCGGATAATATAAAATGGACGTAACCGTAAAAAAAAAGTAAAACCTTTTCTGTTTTATGTATAAATTTAAAAGCATCATAATAATATTTCAAGACTTTATAATAAATAAAATGCTTGAATTCATTAAATTAAACATGTTGAATCACGGTTTCAAATAACAAAAAAATACTTAAATGCATTCCTCATTGAGGATTGTGAAGCGAAGTCATCAACTATAGCTTCATAATTAAGCTTTTCTAACACATTATGCTCAATGCTTAATATTGCCAACCCATTAAGCCTATCTTGAGACTTCGTTGATCACTACCAATGTTATCAACTCCTAAATTTTCCCCTCCTATGACATAATTATTCTGAACTGCTTCATTTTCGGTAGCTAAATCATTATTCTCCGCTGAGTTCTAATCTTGGGGAAGACATTCAGGATTTGAGTTCTTCAAAAAAACAAACTTTTTCATTGAACTTTTCGACTTAGGGCCGCTTTCTCTAATCTTCTCCCATTTTTCTCTTTCTCTCATCCAAATTCAACCATTTTTATTAAACATTGAAATTAATTAAATTTATAAATTTTTACCTAACAAATCAATAAATTATAACTCCACTACTCAATAGATACAATCAACCATTAAGAATATGAACTAACACTCAACATCCAACAAATCAACTAATTATTTATCAACTATTCATAATCATTTATAAACATTAAACAACTACTTCCTCTGTCCTGTTCGGTTTGTCCACTAAGATTGTCCCATATCAAGTTAATGTGATTATAAATCATTCTTATTTTATTCTTACTTTATCAATTGAGTGTCAACTATATAAACTCATGTTTCTTAACAACCTCATCATCTCCTTGTGTGCACGGAAATAGTATATATTAAATCAATTTATCAATTAATAAACTAATCAGTAAACCAATAAAAGAAAACGTATAAAACTGTAAAACAAATACAATGGCCGGAGGATGGGAGGTCGCCATGTGGGGAGGTGTACCTCAAGGATTGGATAGTTGGAACTTGGAGCTGGACGCCTGGACTGAGAAGCCGACAGCCGTCACTCTGGGAGCCTGAGATTCCTGTTTCCGAGAAGGCCGAGAAGCCGAGAGGAAGCAGGGCGGCGTTCAGCGAGTCGGGGAGTCGGCGTTCCTAATTGCGTCCTCAGTTCCTCCTTGGCGAGCTCTGTCGAAGCCTGTATGCCTGTGTGAGCTTACGGGCGTGAAGCAGTATGCCAGAAAAAGTCTCCGTATTTAGTAGCTTTTCCGTATTTTGGGCCTTTGGGCCGGTTGGACTGGAGAAAGTTAATATCCTAGATTTACATTTTTTTAATGTGTAATTCTATTCACAGCCTTCAAATTACTAATTGCAGCCCTTAAATTAATCTAATATCTAAACTACCCTTGTATTAACGGGTGAGAAATGCAGGTGAAATCAGTGGCGGATCCAGGAAACGAATGTGTTGGGGGCGGAGCAAAGAGAAAAAATGTTGTACATGAAAACAAATGTACTTAATTATAAAATATACTATCTATTTGAATAGCAAAAATTTGTAATAAAGTATAAGAGAATTTCCAAACTAAATAAAGTATATTACAATATAAAAATCCCCTAACAAGTGAATCACAATTGCTCTTTTCAATTTTTCATATTTTGACAGATATTTATTATAGTTTTATTTGTGACAATTTCAAACAGATCACTTTCCTAGTGTTGAAGATGGTGTTTTTTCAAAAATCTGTGATAAAAAGTTTAATTAATTTTTTGATAACTAATGTACTATTTTATCTCTTTATCAAGTCAATATTGATGAGCTCTCAAAAGTTTATCCTTCTACTAATTTTAACAGTTTGGCACAAATACACAATAAAACGAGAAAAATCTTTAAATAGGATTAAGACAATGATAATAAAGTTCATTGAATACACTTCACCAAATATGACTCATTAAATACAAACGATAATAACAGTTTATCATTGTTTTATTCTTAAAATATGACTCATCATTTCATATTCTTAAAATATCACTTCTATTTTAAGAATTGAAGTTTTAATCAACTTATTCATTTAATAGAACTAAACAAATGTTATTTGGGGAATGAAATACACTTCATCTCATTTGTGCATTTTGCATATGTTTTGGTACTATATTGACAAATTTCTATAACACTTCACCACATACGTAGTACAAATTGTACAATAAGTCAATATCAATAGTCAAATACTCAATTTCTCACCAATTCTCCTTCAAGCTTTGCCGGTTGAAGCTTCAGTTCATCTGTGATAGTTCTCTGCTAACTTGGGTAAGTTGGGTTTGGGCGCTCTTCGTTAAAATTATAGGGATTTAGAATTCCCTGTTTTGACTGCTTACAAAAGCTGAAGTATATGGAGTAACTTTTTAGGGGGCACTGACTTATTTTACTCTGTATTTTATTTGGGCTTGACTAGACTAGTATAGTTGAGTGGGTTTGAATCGGTTACTTATTGGGGGCATTTAAGATTTTTTATTGGGGGCAATTATTTGGACTAAGTTTTTTCCTATTATAATATATGAAATTTTTGATAGTTTATTGGGGGCAGCTGCCCCCTAGTCACAGTGTGTATCCGCCCCTGGGTGAAATAGTATTAACCATGGGATAAAGTCTGTCTTCTTTATCTTCTATATTCCTACAAAGTATGAAGAGGGAGTGATGACAGGGAGCTCCTCGTCCACTAGAGCCTAAGAGCAACAGAGGCGACACTGAACACTTCCCAACAGGGAGCTCCTCTCCTCCCACCTGGACGGTGGGCCGGTGGCGGTGATCACGCGAAGTTTCTTCCCCCCTCATCTGGAAGCAGAAGACGCTGTGGGTCTTCAATTTCGTAGCGGTGAAGACAAAGCAGAGTAAGTAATTAGCGACCTGGGTCGCTTGGAGAATTTTGACAGTCAAAATCGATGGAAGGAATCCAAATTCAAAGTAATCCAATTGTTTTGCATTCGAAACTTTCTTGATATCTAATTGTTCACAATCTATCTTATATCTGGCAAAAAAACTTATGGAGATGCCCCCGGAATTATTATCATTTCCGTCCACTGGAGACAAACTATCTACCCAGCTACTCCGAGTCAATAAAAAAAACTATGACAACAAGGGATTAAACTTAGAATCCCTTGTTTTGCTCACAAAAATGGTATACTGAGAACATTAATTACAGAATGATGGATGTACACATAGAAGTAGGGAAAGTACTGGCGGACAAAAAAATTCCAGTTCACCTTTCATTGGATTGCAATGAAGGAAAGGTCCATCGGAGAGATTTATTGTCAATTACTTCGTACTATTTTATGGGATGAGGAGCATCCATCTTTGATTGCCATTAGAAAGTAAATTTTTGGTGCATCGTCCCGACCTTTGGATATAGAGCGAGGATGCCGGGTGTTAAGTTACATAATAATGGTGTAATGGGAATTAAAAAAAATGTGTGGCTGTATTTAGTAAATCGGAGTGTGTGAATAGAATTACCCATTTAAGCCACACATTTTTTTAATTCCCATTACACCATTATTATGTAACTTAACACCCGACATCCTCGCTCTATATCCAAAGGTCGGGACGATGCACCAAAAATTTACTTTCTAATGGCAATCAAAGATGGATGCTCCTCATCCCATAAAATAGTACGAAGTAATTGACAATAAATCTCTCCGATGGACCTTTCCTTCTTCATTGCAATCCAATGAAAGGTGAATTGGAATTTTTTTGTCCGCCAGTACTTTCCCTACTTCTATGTGTATATCCATCATTCTGTAATTAATGTTCTCAGTATACCATTTTTGTGAGCAAAACAAGGGATTCTAAGTTTAATCCCTTGTTGTCATAGTTTTTTTATCGACTGGGAGTAGCTGGGTAGATAGTTTGTCTCCAGTGGACGGAAATGATAATAATTCCGGGGGGCATCTCCATAAGTTTTTTTGCCGGATATAAGATAGATTGTGAACAATTAGATATCAAGAAAGTTTCGAATGCAAAACAATTGGATTAATTTGAATTTGGATTCCTTCAATCGATTTTGACTGTCAAAATTCTCCAAGCGACCCAGGTCGCTGATTACTTACTCTGCTTTGTCTTCACCGCTACGAAATTGAAGACCCACAGCGTCTTCTGCTTCCAGATGAGAGGGGAAGAAACTTCGCGTGATCACCACCACCGGCCCACCGTCCAGGTGGGAGGGGAGGAGCTCCCTGTTGGGAAGTGTTCAGTGTCGCCTCTGTTGCTCTGAGGCTCTGGTGGACGAGGAGCTCCCTGTCATCGCTCTCTCTTCATACTTTGTAGGAATATAGAAGATAAAGAAGACAGACTTTATCCCATGGTTAATACTATTTCACCTGCGTTTCTCACCCGTTAATACAAGGGTAGTTTAGATATTAGATTAATTTAACGGCTGTAATTAGTAATTTGAGGGCTGTGAATAGAATTACATTTTTTTTATTTTTTGTAGTGCAAATTACCCATATAGTTTAATTTTGGGTGCACAGTATCATTTATGGCCCAACTCATCTTTCTTTTCATTTTTAACTTTTCTCTTTTCAATATTATTTTTTTATTTCACTTCTAGGGGGCGTTTGGTAGGGTGTATAGTAATTACTTTTCATGCGAACTATAAGGACGTTAAATATTTACACTGTTTGGTTTGATTATTTAATGTAAATTGTAGGACGTTTTTTTAAAACATTTCGCATTGTACCATGGGTAAAATACCATTTCGCAAAGTATTTTACATGGGTAAAATACTTTGCATGTCTTTTATGAAGCACTGTAACGACTTTGCGTGTAATTTAAAAATAAATAACATATCTAACCAAAAAATGCAATCTATTTTGCATGCAAAATTATTGTTTCCTATTCTTTGCACGCAAATACGCAATCACTTAGCCCAAAAGAAGAGCCATTCGCGAGACACAGAAGAGACCGACGAAGAGAGGCAACGGAGATTTTCAATGGCATTTCTCAAATCTGAGCAAGAGAGCGACAGAAAGCTCTCATCTCAGCGAAGATCCCATAGCCGGGAATTAAGCATGACAGATAGAGTGTATCCGGATTCCTTGTTTCAGCATCGCCAGGCAGTCATCCTATCGATTTGCTGGTCTCCAGGCTAGAAACAAAGAGAAGATTAGCAATAAAGGTACACCTCAGGATTCTGGACAATAAGATCAAAGTCTATTAAATCCAATTCATTTCCTTCATCAACCTCAGTGCTATAATTCTCCATTGATAGAGCTTTAACTCTATCAATGGAGAAAATTGTATCAGTTTTTCAACTACAGCCTGTACATACTACTTTTTTAAAATTCTCCATTGATACAAATTGATAAAATTGTATCAGTTTTTCAACCTTTCTAATGGTTTAACTCTGTTTCCTGTACAAGTAGGGATTATTATCCAAAAAGCTGATGCCTCGGTTGTCCAATTATTATAGACTGTTTTGCTTTGTTAGCAGATGCTTTAAGATGTTCAATCATTATTTGTAGCGAGCTATTCGGTCATATAATATTTTGTTTATTAGTCTACGGAAAAGGTAAAAATTCATCATCATTAGACCATAAATTCCACCTTCTACAAATCTTCTCGAAACGGTCCCACGTGTTATTTTTACTTACCTCCCAAGTCTTTTTTTATAATTTTTTTTGGGCTACTTGTTTATATTTTTTCTTTGAATTTTTAGAAAAGAGAAAATAATAGGAGACATTCCTCAAATAGTATTTAATGAAACTTTTAATTGCAAGAATATGAGTATAATTTCAAAATTCCTTAAATAGGACTAGCTTTCCAATTCTATCCTTGCTTTGTTTAGTGCAATTCATATTTCATTAATAATTAAAACATAAAAGTAATAAATAACTTTATTTATAATAAAAATATAGAAAAATAAAATAAAAAAGGAAAAATAAGTATTAATTAAATGTATAAAACTAAAACATTAGAAAAATGAAAAATATAAAATTAAAAACTCAAAAACTTAAAGTTAAAAAATTAGAAAATTAAAAAACAATATGCAGGCATTTGTTGCCACTTCAACAACCTCCCAACACCACTAGCTCTGACCACCAGAAAAATACCAACATGTGTTAGTAATGTCATCTTGATGACAGTTTTTTAGAAAATTTTGTCGTTTTCATAGAGTAAAAATGTCATATTGATGGCATTTCAGAGAAAAAATTAGAGTGTGTACATAAAATGGCATTTTTTCGC